ATGGTTCTATTCTGTTATGGGGGTCGCTATATGTTGGAATCGATTCTGGCACCAAACTACAACTTCAGACCTCTAGAGCTCCTTGGCACGTGATAGTCACTCAGTAAACGTGTGTGGAAGGACTATTAATGGGTATCGGATAAAGCTGCTTAGGCTTCCAAGTCTTGAGAATTTCTGCTAAGGATTGAAGTTCTTCAGAAAGAACAGTTTCCTGTAACTGTCAACGAAGCTAGACAATTCCTGGCATTTCCTACATCATTTTGAATTATGATACAATTCTGTGAGGGGATGGACTTTGCTGCGATTAAAAAGGATTTGGAAGATGGTAATAGTTGCAATTAAATTCGATACCACTAGGTGCCACCAAGGTTGGGCAATCCTACTTCCGTAGTGATACTGCCTCGGAAACCCAAGGAGGGGTCGCTATGAGTCAGGGCTGACTCGACAGCACATAACAACAACAACAGGTGCCACCAAAGATGACGGCAAAACTGCTGATCGGCGCTTTGTGCCCCTGAGGCCATTTAGTCCATCTCCTTCCTTTTGACCTCTTGCCCTCTTCCCCAACACCTACCGGGTGGTCTCATTGTCTTTTCGATAATAAAAATAAAGGATGATGTACTGTAAGGAGCTCTGGTGGTGTACTGGTTAAGGCATTTGGCTGCTAACCAAAAGGTCAGTCGTTGGAACTCACTAGCTGCTTTGTGGAAGAAAGATAAGGGGTCTGTTTCCATAGAGATTTACAGCTTTGGAAACCCAATGGGAATCGTTATAGTCGGAATCCACTAGATGGCAGTGAGTGAGCGGGTGCTGTAAGAATCCTTAAGAGTTCTTAAAAAGGAGTGCCATCAGTGACCACATGCCATTATCCTTTGTGCTCCCCAGGTGTCTGAATTTGTATCAAGAACAAGGTACATTTCCCATTCACGGGAATTAAGCCCATCTTTTTATTCACCCATCAACCATACAAATAACCTATTCTTCAGTATCTTTTAGTCTCTGTTTTATCTTGTTCAACTAATTGCAGTTTATCTTCTATCCCTTTCCTTCACTGGCTCTTTCCCAGCAGTCCTCCCAAAGGGAATCACCCATAAACCAGTGAGGTAGTAAATAAACTACGCATCCACCTTCACCCATAAAGAGAAATGAAACAAACACTTGCTTTGGAGCCCCTATTCTCTGCCAGGCACTGGAGTGCTCGCTTTCACATACACTATCTCATTTAATTCTGTGTGGTGCTATTGCTACCCCCGTTGCCTATGTGGGGAAACTGAAGTTTATAAATTAGTTGCCCAGGATTATTTAGTGAATGCATGAGCTAAAATCTGAATCCAGTTCCACCTGACTCTAGGATCCATTCTTTCAGGAATGCTTCATGCCAACAGGCAAATTTACTTGGTCTGTCACAGGTGAGTAAAGAATCTGGATAAAAACCAGATTTTTTTTTTTTTTTTTCCAGGACTCAACACTTCCTTGAAGAGCCTTTTTTTCTCCTACTTTTTAAATAATTTTATTTTGTTGTTTTTTAAAATATACAGAGCAAAATATGACTAATTCAATAGTTTCTACATGTACCATTCAGTGACTCTGGTTATATTCTTCAAGCTGTGCAACCATTCTCACCCTCCTTTTCTGATTTAGGAGCTCTGGTAGCATAGTGGCTAAGGCACTTGACTGCTAACCAGAAGGCTGGCGGTTCAAACCCACCAGCCACTCCTTGGAAGGAAGATGGGACAATCTACTTCCGTAGTGATACTGCCTCGGAAACCCAAGGAGGAGGTCGCTATGAGTTGGGGCCGACCTGACTGCAAGTAACAACAACAACATTGACATTAACTCACTGTTCTCTAGTGGCTCTGTGGGAGAAAGACCTGGTGATCTGCTCCCGTAAAGATTACAGCTAAGAAAACCTTATGGGGGCAGTTCTGCTTTTGTCACATGGGGTCACTATGAGTCGGAATTGACTTGAAGACACCTAACAACAAATGAAATCAGAGGAAAGACTCAGGTAGAATTGTAGGCTGGTGGCCCAGGGCAGGGGAGACCTCTGCCAGCAGCTCCCTGTCCCCTGGGATAACATGTCCTCTGCCTGAGACTGACCTGTCTACCAAAGAGGTCATTCGTGTCCGTGTCCGTGTCCGCAGTGCTTGGCCTGGCAGTTAACCTGTCACCTGCTGGAGCCAGAAGCCTCATTGTAGGGGGAGGAGTTTGAGCATACTTTTTCCTTCTGTAGCCAGCAGTAGTTGTGTGGCATGTGGTAGTTGTGTGGCATTTGCCTTATAATAGACTAGGGGGTGGGAATGCAGTGGGCGAGGTGTTGTTCAAAACAGTGATGGTGAGGTCTTTGGACTCTGACATTTCATGCGGGGTGTGGGTGTGACCTTTGTCCCATTTCATTTCCTGGGACTCTGTCTCTGCCACCTGGCCTGTTCCAGCTGTGCCAGGACTTAGAGACGGCAGCCCTTCTCCCAGGGCAGGGGTTGCAAACATGTCTGTCAGAATCCATCCGGGTGTTAGTTTCGCACAACATTTCTTGCACTGTGTTGTGCTATTATTTTTCTTTTAAAGATAGGAGAAAATGGGACTTAAAAAATATAGCTTTATTAAAAGTGGGGAAATAAATGGTTGGAATTGCCATTTTAAAAACAAGAGAGGGTAAACTTCTTTGTAGGGAGAATACCTTTTCATACCTGGCCAGTTTTCCTCATCTCCTGAAGGAAATGGAGCCAGTGACTCCTGATGCAGAGGCTCAAGGAGTTCCTTCTAAAGCTCCAAGTAGGACTGTTCTTTCTTCTTCTTCTTTTTTTTGTGGGTGTTTGGACCAAAAGGAAAGACAAGATCTGCATTCTCCTGCTAGGTCTCAGACCTGGAACACCTGTCAGTCTTGGGGACTGAACCCCAAGAGAGCATGTTGAAGTCCTAACTCCTGGTACCTGTGAATGTGATCTTATTTGGAATAAAGTCTTCTAACAGGCTATCAAAGGCGCTCTGGTGGTGTAGTGCCTAAGGCATTTGACTGCTATCCAGAAGGCTAGTGGTTCAAACCCACCAGCCACCTTGTGGAAGGAAGACTGGGCAATCTATTTCTGTAAAGATTTACCATCTTGGAAACCCAAAGGGAGTTGCTATGAGTCGGAATCGACTTGATGGCAATAAGTTTGGTTTTTGTTTTTTTGTTTAGTATGTTATCAGCAAATTCACAAGGGGCCAAACTGGAGCAGGAGTAGCTTGGGTCCTAATCCCAACGAAGTGGTGTCCTGAGAAGAGATGCAGAGAGACAGAAGAAAGATGGCCATGGGAAGAGGTGCACACACACACACACACACATGCCACAAACACCTGGGTCAACTAGAAACTAGGAGAGGTAAGCAAGGGGCTTTCTCTAGAGCCTTCAGAGACAGCATGGTCCTGCTGACACCTTGAAATCCCACTTTAGCCTCCAGAACTGTCAGACAATAAAGATTTCTGTGTTTAAAGTCACCCATTTGGGTGGTGCCCTAGGAAACTAATACAGCATATGGACCCACTACCCCAACAACCACCTACCATATGGCTCCTCCAAAGTCTAACTTGAGAGTGAAATGGGAAAGGCTAAGTATACAAACGCACTACCCCCTTTAACAAAAAGCAGACCCAGCAGCAAACCCTACAGTCAGATGCTTCACTACCGAAGGATCAGAGTATGTGTGTCGACAGTGAGGACTTCATGATGCTGGGTGTGTGGGTCATTCTTTTCTTCTCTTGTTTATTTTCTGCAGCAAACATGCAATAGAAGTAATATAAAATGAAGAAAAATATTTGCAAAGTACCATTTGAAAAACAGAAGTGACCAAATTATCTAGCTTTTCTTTTTTTGTGGAAACCCTGAAAGAAAACATTATGTAGGTATTTAGAAGTAAGACTTCAGAGGCAAACTTTTAAGGGGCAATTTTTTTTTATTATAAATTTAATATGGTTGATTAATGAAAAATCACAATGAAATACCGATAAAATGTCTGTCGATATAAAAATTTTAGCAGCATTTCCACAGTTTCAGGCTCCAACATCGGTCATCCTTTCTCTCCCCTCCCCCACCCCCCACTATCAAAAAAGAAGAGCATCCAGTTGGACTACAGTGGAGCATCAAGATGTTCAGCTCAGTAACAGCCTCAGAGAAATCCTCAAATCCAGTGTAGTTTCCAGTATTGCAGCCTCCCACCCCCCGAATTTCTAGACTGTCAAAGCATATCAAGAGCCTCACTCATTCGCCTCAATGTTTCAGACAAGACTTCTGCTCTCCAGGCTGCAGGGGAGGATAATGATGAACATTTCACCTGGAGTTGATATGTAGTGTTTTGTCACACACCCGAAGTCTGCATGTCCCCCACACTGACGACAGGTGAAGTCCGCTGTGGATGCACCAATACCTGGTGTGTGGCAGCAGTGGTGGTGGGGTGCCGGGAGATGGGGGACCCAAGTGTAGCATGGACATGAAGGGTGACGGTGCTTTGCACCATACACAGTCCCCTGGGGCAGGTTAACACACACGTGGTCTGACTCCCTCCCAGGTTAGTGGTAGTGATTAATGACAAGGGGAGATAAACAATATGAAAATATAATACTGGCAAACTATTCCCCTGCTTCTTTGGTACTTTCTAAAATTCTCTGATCAAAAAGGTATAAGGGAAGCACACCGTTAAAAAATTACAGTTTTAAGTATTTACAGAAGCAATTATGATATATTACACAATAATCAATACACAGTATATGAACAAATTCTTCAATGAAAGCACGTGTGAACTCCTGTTCCAGTATAACTCAGTAGCACGCTGACCTCCATACGCCTTCCCAAATTTGTATCATACATCCTGTATCTCACTTATCTTACAGCATATTAAATGGGAAAAAGAATCATTTGGAAAAAAAGTCATTTTCCAATCAATACTTTCCTTTTAAAAGGTTCTTAAAAAATTGCCACTGATGTCATTATGTACAAAAATGTAATGAATATTTAATTCTGGGCAATTCCCTCTACTCCCAGTTTGAATATGTTTGAAATAATGCTACCTATTCTATGTATACAATATATATTTAATACATAAGTAACTGCACCACATTATATCACCACGATACCAGTTTAATACACATTATTATATACAGTATTAAGTTAGCTCTGGAGGATGACTCTTTGCAGCCCAGGTGAACAGTGTTGTCATATGGAACTATCTGAAAGGATATGTTGGCGCCGGTTGGGAGACAGGATGTGTGTGTGCGTGTGTGTGCATGTGCATGATATGTGAAACACACCTCCAACGCATGCCCACGCCAGACCATCCCTTTACTGGCTGACTGGGTGGAAGATGGCAGATCACACATAGGGAAGGATCCCATACATGAGAAGAGCCATAATAGCAGCACTGAATAACCCAGCCACGGGCACCGTCACAAACCAGGCCACAAAGATGTTCCTGAAGAGGCGCCAGTCGACGGCCTTCCGGGAGCGGATCCAGCCCACAGCCACCACTGAGCCCACCTGTGAAGCACAAACATTCTAAAGTGAAAACAGAGGCCACCCACATATTAAAGGTGAGACACAAAATCTACATTCAACCAACATGAACTGGCTACTCTCAGAAGTAAACAACACAGTGACATTACCATTTCATTTTCCCAAAGTTTCTAAGTTTTCAGGTATACTTGTTTTAGGATCATTGTGTCAGCATATAGTTCTGATGCACCTGTATTCTGAGCTACTTGAATGAAACTTAAGCCAATTAAATGATTTCCTTTCACTCTGTACCTTATAAACTAACCACAAATACCCTTGTTTTAAATATTCCCCATATAGGATATTGCTTACTGCAACATGTGAACCTACTTTAATCGCAAAATGAAATGGCAACAAGGTATCCTTCTCTTAGAATAACAGAATCATAAAATGTTGGAGCTGGAGAAGACCTTTGACATCTAATCCAAACTCACTCATTTTTAGACACTAAAAGAGGATCATATTAAAGGCTTAAGGGCTTGAGAAGATATCAAATCAGTGGCAGATTAAGAGCTGCAACTCAAGCCTCTCAAGTTTAGATTGATTTTCTCCACTATTTCAAACTGCCTTGCAGTCTTTGTATTTTGTTATTTGTTGTTAAGTGCAGTCAAGTCAGCTCTGACTCACAGTGACCCTCACAGTGTACAACAGAACGAAACACTGCCTGGTCCTGCATCTTCCTCACAGTCCTCGCTGTGCTTGAGCCTCTCACTGCAGTCACTGGGTCAATCCATCTCGTTGAGGGTCTTCTCCCCCACCCCTTTTTAGTAGCTTTGTATTTTAATAATAACAATAATAAAAAGAATAAAATGGAGCTTAAATAATATAATGAGATGTAGACTGTCAGTTCTGCCCAGAACATGACAGTGGTACTTTGAAAATCAGAATTTTAAAACTGATTCAAGTTATTTTTCTAAACACTCGCAGTTCATTTTCTGGTTTGTTAAGTTTCAAAAAGAAAAAGACACTGGAAGTATCCTAGAAAAGGGAAATCATAAGAAAATAGAGCACCCATAACATCTCACACTTCAGAAAGAAGTGGTTAAGCCCGAAAAGGGCTTAATGGGGTGCCATTGGTCACATGCAAGGTGGATTTTGAAGATTTTCATAAAATATGCTTTGTTTCTACTGATCCTCAAAGACTTAAGAATTAGCAATATCCAATCAGGTTCAAACAGGAAAGGAGATTGAAAGCAACCAAGGTCTAAGCATAGAAAAATAAAATCTAGCATTTTATATTTTCTACGGAAGTAATAAACAGAAAAACAAAACCAAATTAACTGCTGTTGAGTCAGATCCGACTCATAGCGACCCCTCCTTGAGTTTCCGAGGCAGTTATCACTACAGAAGTAGATTGCCCAACCTTCCTTCCCAGGAGTGGCTGTTGGGTTGAACAGCCAGCCTTCTGGTTAGCAGTCAAGTGCCTTAAGCACTACGCCACCAGAGCTCCCATGGAAGTGAACAGGGATCCCCAAATAGCAGCACGCTTCAAGGCAGTGCGGTAGTTAAATTTTTATGTCAATTTGGCTGGGCCTGGCTGAGTGGCTGGGCAGCTGTTTGTAGTTATTCCCCATGATGAGACAGGCAATCAACTGTATGGTGGGATCTACCACAAGCAGCTGAGTAGCTGCCTTTGGGATGTGGTCTGCTTCCTGTATATAAGGAGAAGCCTTAGGGATAGTCTCTAGCTTACGGCACACTTGGACCCTGCATGTAGCCGTGTCGTTGTTCAGCAGCCTGCCATGCTCTGCTGACCTTGGGACTTACAAGGGTCTGCCATGTGGTTTGGAAACATCGGGACTGTGCCATTTTATTTGTCAGCCTTGGGCTTGTTAGCCTCAGCAGCCAGTAGTTGCCTGAGTGAAGAGATGCCTCTAGCTTCAGTGGGCTGGGAGCAGGAGGCAGAGTTGAAGCCCAAGGTCGAGGGGCTTTCACCCAGCCCCTAGAGCCTGGCACTTTGAACTCAGACTTAAAGTCTCCAAAGTGTAAGAGAATAAACTCCTGTTTGTTAAGGCCATCCCATTTGTAGTATTTCTATTAGAGTGGCCCTAGGTAACCAGAACAGGCAGTGAACCTGACATTTCATCTACCGAAGCAGCCATTACCCAGCACTTCCAGACCCCTGCTTGATGCATACATTCAAAGTGCTCAGCAGCTAGCCAAGAGGTGGGAGGCTGGAGTCCACTCAGAGGCACCTCAGAAGAAAGGCCTGGAGACCTACTTCTGAAAAATGAGCCAGTGGAGGGCGTATGGCACACAGCTCTGCGCTCACACGCAGGGGCCACCGAGAGTCAGAGTTGACTTTCCTCAGATACAGTAACAGGCTCCATCTTTCTGCCATTTACTCTGTTCTTGTATGAGTATGAACTTTTAATTCTTGTTTCCATATTTTTTGAAATTAGGATTATTATGAAATACTTTTTATTTTTGTTTCAATTATAGAGAACTTTTGTTTTGCTTTTGAAAATACATTTTCTGACTGGCTATCGCTAACAAACAAGTGCATGCTAGATTTTTCTATTTTTATCTTGGGCTTACTCATTTTCCTGAATCCTAGTAGTAGTTCTTTTATTCAGAAATACAGAATTTTATCAAAAAAGTCTTTTTGGCATATTATCTCAGTGTTGTTATCAGGTGCGCTTTGGGTCAATTCTGACACACAGTGACCCTGTACAGAACAGAACCAAACTCTGCCCGGTCCTGCGCCACCCTCAGAATTGTTGCTATGTTTGAGCCCATGGTTGCAGCCACTGTGTCAATCCATCTCGTTAAGGGTCTTGCCCCTCTCGCAGTCCATTCAGTATTCTTCAACAACAACATAATTCAAATGCATCAATTCTCCTTCAGTCATCCTTATTCACTGTCCAGCTTTTGCATGCAGATGAGGCAACCATGGCTTGGGTCAGGCATACCTTAGTTTTTGTCAGATGATCACATATATTTTTTTTGATGGATTGAGATGGCATAATATATTGAAGACCTACGTTCCCTTCTTGGGATTCATTCAGCACACATTCATCGAGCACCTAGCAGGGCCAAGCACTGAGGAGGCACAGGGACAGTGGCCGGGGATGAGAAATTCTGCCGTGTTCATCGAGCACACTTCTCTGTGGTCTAAACATTAATTTAGGCCTGCTGAATTGCTCTTTTATAATATCGTTGATATAATTTATTAGCATCTTACTTAAGTCTTTCTATTCATATGTAAATATAGCTTTTTATTGTTTGTGATATTTTAAATCAGGTTTTCGTACTGGGGTCATTCAGTACATGCTTTACAGAACAAGTTGGGAAGTTTCTTGTTTTGTTTTTATCTCCCACACTGTGGAAAATTTTTTATAATGTGAGAATTATCTGTTATTTTAAATTGAAAAGACTGGCTAATGAATCCATGTGAACAGGAGTCAGCAGGGCAGCCCTCCTCGTTTTTGGGGAAAATTGTTTTGGAGAATTTCCTAACTTTTGTCCTACTGCTCTGTTCAGGTTTTCCATTTCGTTTTTCACTTTTTTTTTGTCAGTATCTGTCATATATATATATTTGTTGTTGTTTTGTTAAAAAAAGTTTATTGTGATTTGGCTAAAAGTGTACAGAGCAAATTCATTCTTCATACAGCAGTTCATGCACATTTTGTTTCATGACATTGACTGAAACTCCCCACAATTTAACAGCTCTCTTCCCACTGCCTCCCCATAGCCACCTCTTCCCTGTGTCCTTCCCTCCCATGCACTCCTGCCCCCTGAGCTGTGTCCCTGTGCATACACAGACCTTCTATTCTCCCACAACTGACTGCTCCAAGGAGTGTCTCTATCTGATGTAAACGTTCACTCCACATGGCCGTCTACTGTTTGGCTGGCAGCCACAGGAGTGTCACATACATTTTTGCAGAAAAGAATTCATTTCGTAAATGTTACCAAGCTCTTAGTATAAAGTAGTGGTGTGGTTCCTCTTAGAATCTTAAACATTATCTTCCATATCAGATGTTATAATGTCTTTTCCATGTCTAACAATCACCCCTCTTTTTCCTTGATGTAACTTTGGTATATATAACTTTGATCAGATTCTTTCTTCTGCCCTTCCCCATTTTTGGTTTTAAATTCATTTATTTTGCTTTTATACTTATTATATACTTTATCTGGTTTCCTCAGAACGTTTACTGTTGTTGACTTTTTATAAAAGCCTAATTTGAATGTTTGGTTCTTTTATTTTCCTTTTGATGAGTTAAGCACTTAAACATATGACTTCTTATCGCAGCATAACTCTGTCTGCTATAGGCTTTGCTATGTGCATGCACACACACACACACACACACACTCTTGGTTTTTATTATATTACAAGAAAGCTATCATTGTAATTTTAAAAACTCCTTAATTGCTACCTTTTAAAAGAGCATTTAAAACTTTTCAAGGGGATACTTTCTTTTTTCTTTCTTTTTTTTAATTGTGATTTGGATGAAGATTTACAGAGCAAATTAACTTTCCATACAGCAGTTCACATGTACTTTGTCTCATGACATTGACCACAATTTATCATAATGCAACAGCTCCCCTCCCATATTCTCCCCATAGTTACCTCTTCCCTGTGTCCATCCCTCCATGTACTCCTGCCCCTTGAGCTGTCTCCCTGTGCATAAGCAGCCCTTCTTTCTCCCATGATTGCTGTCTCCAAGGACAGTATTACTTGAGGTAAATGTTCAACTCATATGCCTGTCTTCTGTTTGGCTGGAAACCACAGGTGTGGGTTCAATTCCAGACCTGAAGGGCAGTGAGGGGCCATAGTCTCAGTGGTTCCACCAGGCCCTATCGGACCAGCAAACCTGGTCCCCCCTCAAGGGGATACTTTCTTAATCATTTTTTATTTTACTGTGATTACAGATTACAGTTAGCACAAATTCCATTTTTAAAACTTTGTAGAGATTTCATCATGCCTTCAGAATTTATGATTAATCTTTAAAAACGTATCATGATACTTGACCAAAATACTTTTG